AGGGAACCGATTCCCCCCAGGGGGTACCGATTCCCCCTTGTATAACGGTTGAAATACTTGAATTTTACACTTAGGGAACCGATTCCCCATAGGGGGTATCGATTCCCCCCACGCTCCAAACTGTTTTATTAATTGTTTTCACACTAAAACGGCTATATTATTTTATCTAATCATCCCCAACGTTCAGAAGTAATTCAAGGTGTATTTAAGCAAGCTTAGAAGCCATTGATCAATAACAAGAAACATCAAGCAATTAGAATCAAGAGAGAATCAAAGAGAAAGCATCAAACCTCATGTTTGAGCATTTCAAGCCTATTTTTCATTCAATATTCATTTTCCTTTCAAGAACACTTATTGTGCTCAATTGTATTTATTCTTGAGTGTTCTTTCTTTGTTCTAGAATTGTGCAAACATATTTGCCTTGTGAGGTTTTTCTTGTAAGTTTGCAAATTTGTATTTCTCTTTGAGAAAAAAGTGTTCTCAAGAATTGGGGTATATTCTTGAGGGAGTTGTAAGGTTATCTCTTTGGCCTCAAAAGAAAGAACAAATTAGTGAATTTGTTGGAAAATCCTTAGTGTGGATAGCTAAGGTAGTGGACGTAGACTTTGGTTGATAAAGTCAAACCACTCTAAATCACTGTGCAATTTCTTTCAATTTTTTGCAAAAGCTTCCACAAAAATTTTTATTGCCAATTCACCCCCCCTCTTGGCCGATTCAGTCAATCGATTAACTCAACACAACTTTAACAAATTCCTATCATTCCAATACCTTATAATCTTCCATATTTCATCCAAATTCTTAAGGCTAAGAATCATACCAAATTTTCCATGTTATCCAAACTTTGATTTAACACTTATAACTTCTTATTCACACCTATGACAAGTCAAATTTAGTTTCAAATTCAACTTATCAACTCTTTTCCAAGAATTCACTTAAAACCTCATTTTCTTTAATCTTTCATAACTTCTTCATCTTTTGATTTTAAGATAACTTAAGCTTAGTTATCATCTAATGATCAAAACCTCACTCTTAAAATTAACAAATAATCAACAAAGTAGAAAACTCACCTTTGCTCTAGCTTGAGCACGTTGGAGAAGAGAAGAAAATGAAGAATGAAGAGTGAAGAGATTTATGGAGAAATCTCTCAACCTTATCCCCATATATATCATTATCTTATTCATTTCTAAGTTAAATGACCATTTTGCCCTTTAATTCCTTTAATAATTACTAACAACTTTTAGGAAATCTCCACATAAATCATTGAACTATTCAACTATTCTACTTTTATCACCAAATTCTGAAATTTTATAATTTAGTCACTAACCCAGTATTGAGGATGTTACAAAAATATTTACAAAAACAAATAAAATTTTCAAATTTTCAAATTTCAATACTTATTTGTAAATAAAATAATTTTTAAAAAATCGTGGCACTCATCATGCCCACATGGCGGGTTCCAATTTGATTTAAAAAATTCAGTCTGTTGCCCAAGGGCTAATTTTTAAAAATCCAAATGGTACTCGCAATGTGGCCATGACGAGCCCCGTGATTTTTTAAAATATATATATATATATATATATTAAAAGAACTTGTCATACCCACATAGCGAGTTTCAAGAAATATATTAAACAACAATTAGGTTCTACTGGACCACAAACTTGGATCCATTTAAAACTTTTCTGGGATAACTCGCTAGGTGGACATGACAAGTTCGTTAAACACTTTAACATTTATCGTATGTTCCAAAATAAATTTGGAGTAGGCTTATTTGACCAAATAAATAATCCAGATAGATGATTGGCCCAATTTTACTTAAAACGCAACTCAAATAAAAACTATACCCTATATATTTCCCTGTCAGGCACCATTCAGACTATATTTCTTGATCTAACACCCTTTACAGTAAGGCGCACCCCTTGCAACGCGCTTTACGCTGATCTAGCGCCACGTGGGGTAAGGCGCTCCCCTTGTAGCGCGCCTTATGCTGACATTGATACACGTGTGTAAAGCGCGGCCCCTGGGGCGCGCCTTACACCGCGTAGGGTTATAGTGCGGGGCAGGGGCCGCGCTTTTCAATTATCACATGCTCAATTATCAGACATGCATAATGCAAGGTGCGGTGCAGAGACAGCGCCTTGTATAATTTACCCGAACTTCTCGGCTTTAAAGCATCCTCTCTCGGCTATAAATAACCCTCTTCCCGTAAACTCTCTCACAATTCCCTTTCAACCGAGAAATTAATACAACAATCCTTTCAACCAGTAAATAACACTCGGCAACCCTCATATCTACCTATGTGACCGAATCTAGCCTCTACTAAATACGGCAATACACGGCTAGGTATCACTAACTTAAGGTTTCTAATAAAAGGATCTAATACACAGTCCATCTCCTAAAATAAAATACAAAAATTAATTTTTAAACTAATAATCATGCATTAAATAAATAATAAATTATTACTAATAATTTAAATTAAATTAAAACGTTAAAATGTTACCGTATCAGCAACATATCGATATATATGATTTTCATCCAAGTGAAGTAGACCGTCTTCCATTTTATATCTGCAAAAAAATTAATTAAATAAAATATTAAAAAATTTAAATACTTAAATAAATTACAAAATATTAAATATAATAAAATATACCTTAAACAGTTATAAGAAAATATAAGAGTATTTAAGAGAAGTTAAGATGATTTGATGTGATGAAAGTGATTGAGAATGGAGTATTTACATGGAGGGATGAGGGTGTGAACGGCCGGGGTAGGTGAATAATTAAACGCGCGCCGCGGGGGCGCTCTTTAGACACGTGTATTCATATCAGCATAAGGCACGTTTAAGGGGGCACACCTTACCCCACGTGACACCAAATCAGCGTAAAACGCGCTGCAATGGCGCGCCTTACTACAAAAAATGTTAGATCAAAAAAATAATCTGAATAATGTCTGATAAGAAAATATATAGGGTATAGATGATATATCGAAAAAACGCCGATTTTTTGTCAATATACTAAAGAAAATACGAATAATACAAGTCTAAACTAAATAATGATGGTTCATGGTAAGTGTGGACTAGTCTAAGGCTGAGAGTTGAACGTGGACTATTCCAACACATTTTACTCCACAAAATGGCAAACTACATTACTCGAGGGACCCATCCCTGACTTCGGATTTTACTGCTCAGTCACACGCAAATTCATTACCATGATACACAAGTCCTCTAAATTAGGGATATATTGTGATTTGTGAATGTTTTTTTTAGGGAAATATAAATTATAGAAAATTGTTTCGAAAAATAAGGAAAATGTAATATTATGTGGTAAAGTCATTTACAGCTGAAAATAATTTTGGTTAAATGCATAGCTGTCGATGATTTTTTCCCCAATATCTCTTTTATAATTTTAGAATTAAATTATACAGATATTAAAATATAGCAGTTAAAATATGATTTTTTAAAAAATATCTCATTAAAACTAAACAATGAATTTAATTAATTAATTGATTTTGTTGTTTGAACTATAATTATATTATAAATTTTTAAAAGGTTATGATTATATATTTGAGCGTTCGATTAAAATGATATTTTAATATATATATTTTTTTAGATATGCATTCTGATAAAGAGTTCTAGACATCTTATCTTGTCCTACTTGAAAAATATTATTTTTGCTTTAAATTTAAATTTGTTATTATTGATATTTTTTAATCCATCAGACTCAAAAATTTTGATTATTATATATAGAAAATATATCATTATTCGTAAAGATTCGATATGTTTAATTTTACTTTAAAAATTTAGAAATTTTATTATAATCACTGTAATTTTAGTTTTCTTTGGCTTTGGATCTTAGGGTATAAAATAAAAGGTAAATTACACCAATCATCACTGAACTTTATTATCTCTCCTATTTCACTCACTGCATTTAAATCCATTCAATTTTCTTATTGAACTTAACATAATTAGTATTTTTTGCCATTCAACCATTAAATATTTAACGGTATTAAAACGAAGCCGTTTAAAAAACAAAATTTTCACCAAATCGACTTTATTTTGCATCTATATAACATCTCATTTATAACGCCATATAGTGAGTTAACGGCTGAGTAAACAAAAATGCTAATTATGTTAAGTTTAGTGAAGAAATTGAATGAATTTAAAGTACAATAAGTGAAATATGAGATAAGATAAAATTCAGTGATGATTAGTGTAATTTACTCTAAAATAAAATCAGAAACAAAGTCAAACTCACTCGAAAACTATCACTGGCTCGGCTCCAATGACAAGTTAAAAACAAATAAATATTATATTTTACGTGAAGCTAAATGCAGATTTTATTTTAAACTCTTTCAAAAAATTATTGCCTCTCAAAGTTTTACAATACAATTATAGTCTAAACAATAATGTTCTTAAATTTTTTTAACTCTATTTTATTTAGGGTAAATTACACGCTTACGCATTTAACTTTATTCTCTCTCCTATTTCATTAATTACACTTTTAAATTTTTTCCAATTTATTCACTGAACTTTAGACATTAAATTTTTTTATCACTCAACCGTTTATTCCGTAATGGGGTGCTTATGTAGTTTATTTTAATAATAAAACATGCCACATTAATAGGACATATAATTAAAAAGATAAATTACATGTTTACTCACTGAACTTTACTCTCTCTTATTTTACTCACTATTTTTAATTTTTTTCAATTAATATACCAACATCATAACACCGTTAGAAATTTAACGATCGAGTGACCAAAATAGTTCAATGTATAAAGTTCAGTGAGAAAATTGAAAAAAAATTAAAAGTATAATGAATAAAATAAGAGAGAGAGTAAAGTTCAACGAGTAAGTGTAAAATTTTCCTTTTTATTTAAAGGGATAATTTCTAAAAATTTTCATTTTAATCCCTATACTTTTATGTCTTATAACTTAGTTGTGACACCACCAACATTATTTATTTAATTTAGCCAATGATTTATAAATTATTTGATATTATATATATGACTTTTACATTTACATATATTTAATAATATAAGAAAACAAAGAATCTACAACTCTATAATTGGGAAAGCAAAGGAACAAAGGGTTGGCGTGGTCGACACTTAGCCTGCAAAGGTTGAGCCTTAGGCATGGTGAGCCCAGGCCCTTCGGTTAAATCCACCATCTCTTCTCCTGTTCTCTCCCACTCAAAGCATTGTATCAGTGACCCCAATGTTAATCCTATCATCCGCATCGCTAATCCTTCTCCGGGACACCGCCGTCTCCCCGCTCCGAACGGCATCAGCTTGAAACCGGTGTTCGATGGATCCAAGCCCACGAATCTCTCGGGCTTGTACTTCGTAGGCTCCTCCCAATTATTGGGATCGTTGTGTATGGCCCATGCGTTCACCAGCAACATGGTTCCACGCGGTATACGGTATCCCCCGATGACGCATTCTTCCGATGATTCATGAGGTACTAACAATGGACCGACTGGCTTCATTCGAAAAGTCTCGTTGATTATGCAATGAAGATAAGGAAGATTCGATAAGTCCGATTCCTCGATCAGTCGGTTATGCCCGACAACGGTATCGATTTCAGCTTGAGCTTTTTTCAGAACATGCGGATGATTCAAGAGGAGAGACATTGCCCACTCTAATGTGCCTGCGGATGTATCGGTTCCTGCAAGAAGTAACACCTGCAACATTTTTCAAGATCCAAATTAGGGCATTGTTTGATGAAAGAAACTAAGAGCAAACTCATTCAAAAATATCAGCGAAGAACTGAGTGTTATTTTCTTAAAGATTTTAAATTTGAGGATCTGTATATTAATGGCCAAGAAAAATTCTGAAGCGTATAATCAAACCCAAGTTTAGAAAAGCTTACTATCATGAGACTTCTAATAGTTTCATCCTTGTACATTTCAGGCTCTTGTTCTTGCAACGACAACATGACTTCAATCATGTTCTTTTTCTTGTCTGTGGATGCACAACTTTCCTTGCCATTTTTCATGTTGATTCGACATTCATCGATCAGTTCTTGTGTGAATGTGTCTCTTCTTTTAGATAAGTTGATCATCCTTCTCTCTGTGTTTCCCAACCACTTCATCAACGGTAGATAATCACCCATGTTTGATGCGCCGGCCAAAAGAAACGATTCACTCATAATTTCGCGAAACCGGGTCCCTTCCTCGACGACCTCGACATCGTCTCCGTAATATCTTTTTCCGGCAATCATCCGCATCATCAAGTTGACCATCAGCTCGAAGAGTCTGGATTTGAGATCCACCGTCCGATCTTGATCCTTGAACAGCTTACGAAGAAGCAAACGGAGTTCATCGAGGCGTGTGGCGTAAAGCAACTGGAGACAGTTGCCTGAAAGAAGTTGAATCGCCGATATACGCCTCAAGTTCCGCCAATTTTCGCCGTAGGAATCCCAGATAAGGCTAGTATAATTATAACCCATATGCTTCCCGTATAAAAGTTTGGGGCGGTTGGCCAAGATAATATCATTTTTCGTAAAGCACTCCTCGGCCGCCGATGCCGATGAGACGAGCACAACGGGACGTGAACCAAAGTGAAGGAGGAGGACGCGGCCATGTTTGGCGGAGATTTTGGCCAGCGTGCGGTGGAGAGGCTTCTTCAGGAGTAGATAAAAGTGGCCGATGAAGGGTAAAGTGGGAAAAGGGGTGGGAGGATGGTTCTTCAACTTGTGGAATAAGTGGAGGGTGATGGAATAAAGAGCTACAAGGAGAAGAATTTGCAGAAACATGGCCACTAGCTTTGGATGGATTTATTTATTTTCATGTTTTGTATGGAAATGGGGATTATATACATGTGGAAGTGGAAGTGGAAGGCTTTCCTTCTCCTTCCATTCATTTTAGACGCTTGAATTTGTACGTTTCTTTCCCTTCCAGATCTTCAACCCTAACAATGGGATAAGATTAATGACTTTCAAAACTTTTATTTCTTTATTCTGTTTTATTTCTTCATCTAGCAGACTTGCCTTCAAATCAAATTCTTTATTCGTTTATAATGAAGTTCAAACCCTAAATTATCGTCTTAGTATATTTTAATACTTAAATTTTAATTTTTTAAAATTAGATTTAATATTTACTTTTCATTTTATTTTAATATTCCGTCGTTAGAAAAATAAAACATTTAATATCTAAACTATCATTTTTAGTTTGTTTCAGTACATAAATTTTTAAACTTTTTTCAAAACTTAAAATTAAATTTTGTACGGGTACTAAAATAAATTATATTTTTACTGACGGATATTAAAATGAAACAACAAACTAAACTTAGGTATGATTTTGAAAAAATAAAAGTTTAAATACTAAACAGACTAAACTGAATACTTTAGGTATTAAAACGTAATTTGTCCTTATTTTTAGCAAAAAGTTATTTTTAATCAGCGTGTGTGGGAAGGAAGTCAAGGAGTGAACCTTCTAGGAGGTTTCCGCGATTCAGATCAACCAATAGGAACCCCAAACCAGGAAGCTTTTAGGTGTGCTGTAAATGCTTTTTTTAAAAAATTTATTATGGCATATAACCATTTTCTTAATGAAGTTTGATGCTATTGCCTGGCGGCTACAATTAGATTGATTTATTTAAGGGTAAATTACACCATTCTTTATTGAACTATATTCTCTCTTATTTTATTCATTGTACTTTCAATTTATCTATTTTACTCACTGAAGTTTACATATTGTATCATTTTGCTCACTCTACCATTAATTATTTAATGACGTTATGATGTGACACATGAATCAAAATGACATCGTTTTGAAAAACTCAAATATATTCCAAAACGACGTCGTTTTGGTGAGTAAAATATGAGAGAGAGTAAAGTTCAGTGACTTATGGTGTAATTTACCCTTTTTCCTTCTCTTCTTCATTTTCTCTCTACCGACCACCACGTCATTTTCATTTCGGCCACCGTCGACCACCGTAGATGGTGGTCGTTTGATCCCAAATTTCATAGGTCGATTCGTCTCGAACCCTTGAGTCTGAATTTGGTGGTTGTTTCACTGGAAAATGTTCTAAAACCCGTGAATTTGGACTGAAACGTTTCGGATTCCTCACTTTCAATCTCAAGTTCGTGGAATTCGGAGCAAGTTATGACAAAATGGAGGTAAGATTTAGACTCAACATGTCAAAACGAAGTGACCTATCCCATTTTAAGACCAAACGGCCACCATCTACGACGGTCGACGCTGGCACCCGACAACCTTCTATTTTTATTTTATTTTTTAATTATTTTATATTAAATAATAATAATAAAAAAGACCACATCATCATCTGTAAGAGAGAAAACGGTCGAGTGAGCAAAATGATTTGATTGTAAAATTTAGTGAGCAAAATAGAAAAATTGAAAGTACGGTGAGAAAAATAGGAGAGAAATTAAAATTTAGTTAAGAACTGTGTAATTTACCCATGATTTAAATATTATACATTGTGATAATAAGACAAACTGGATTGAAATTTTAGATATTCCAGAAGATTTTTGACTTCCAACGCAAATGTGGTCACGAAACATACAACAAACATATAGAAACTTCAAATGGAATCCCAGGATAATCGTATTTTATTTAAAAATATATATATAGTTTAAATTGTTTTTTTGTCAATTAAACATTCTCTTTATAATTTTATATTTCTAAATTTTTAATATATTTCTTTAAAAATCATATTTCTGACACAAAATTTTATGTACATCTATATTCAAATATATATTATATTAATCGGTGTTAATTTTTATGTTTGATTGTTCCAAGGCCCAACCCTTGACTTTAGTATTTGGTGATTCCTCCGTCAATTTTGCTATGGTAAATGACTTTTTTAACCAAAATATTCGATTTATAAATTTTGTTCATAAAATATCGACAAATATTATTTATAAAGTATTGAGTTTAATCTGGAGCACAATTATAGAGGATTGGAGAGGCCATGGTCTCCCAAAAACATAGAAAAAATTATAGGTTTTATCAATCATATTTGTTTTGTCTATTTTCCTTCTCTAATTTAAAAAAACATAATATATGTTATTTTTTCTTTATTTAATTAAGACGAGATTACCATGAGTTAAGTGTCGTTAACTATTTTAATATAATTACACATTTGATCTATATTATTTACATATATTTTTTTAATTTTATCTTACTTTTAATAAATTAAAACAAATTTAATTATTATATCACATGTGATGTTGAAAAATTAACTTTATTTTAAATTTAATATATTTATTTTCGGGAGGGTGACGTTACCCTCTGTTTAAAAGAAAACAGAGCAACGCAAAATTGGTGCTAGAGGGATTTGGAAATTGGTAACACGTGACACGAACCAAACGATCTCGGTGGTAAAGAATTTTTTTTATTTTTTGAGGTCTCATGTTTGAGTATCAAGAATGCTAGGGGTCTGAGTGCTCAATATCAAATTGTTGAGAGTTGTCTTTGAACATATATTGCCTTATACTTACATCAAATTAATAAAAAATAATAATGGTAACACGTGGCACAACACGTAACACTAGTGACACATGACATCATTAGATTAAAGATTAAATTTATTTTGATTAATTAAAAGTATGACTAAATTTAGATAATATGTAAATAATAGGGACCAAATATATTATTATCCCAAAATATCATGTCACTTAATTTGTTAATCGTTAACATTAGTTAACCCGTAGTGACCACATCTTAACTAAATAAAAACGATAGTGACCTTATCTTAATTAAATAAAAAAAGTAACCATATATTATGTTTTTTGCAATCAATGAGAAAAAATGGACAAAACAAAAACATAAGTGATCAATAATGTAGTTATCCCAAAATTATCATTAATTTTCTTAAAGTATTCTCAAAATATAAATTATGTTACACAAAATAACAATCTGAGACAAAATCAGACATGAGGAATTAAAATAAAAGAAGTTAAATTTTTTATAGACGATAAAAATATATAAAAATAAAAAATACTCCATTTTATTTGATTGATCAATTGATCGGAAACAAATGAAGTATGTCACTACATAGTTTTCTTAAGAAAAATTTTTTGGTCACTCCTTAGGAGCTCGAATTCATTGGTTGTCTATATGCCAAGATACAACAACTAGATGATCAACTACAGTAGCACAACTACAAAGATCACGAACTATCCTTATCTTCGCCTATTACCAAAAAACTAATGGAGAAAAACTTTTCTACTTTTAAAATTGTGTGAGACTTAAACTTTTCTGATGTGTTTAACCTAGTAGGTTAACACAATATTTATAGGGGATTTCCAAGAGAGATTTACTCAAATCAAATATCTTTTAATATTCAAATCTAAACAAATAATAATATCTTTTAAGCTGAAATATTCAAAAGATATTGAAATCTTTTACTATTCAAACTTAAATAGATATTATTTTGATTTGAAATATTCAAAAGAATATAATTATCTTTAACATTCAAAGTTAAAGAGATAATAAATACCTTTTAATTTGGCATAATCAAAGAATAATAATCATACTAATATTCAAATTAAAAATATCTTTTAATTTATAATATTAAAAAGGAATATGAATTTAATTTAAATATTAAATCTATCAAAGAAATTTACTTTTTTAACAATCCCCTACATGAATGAAATTGATGATTTTATCAAAAACATTTCGACAGATGTGGTGATAGACTCTACGATTGATAGTTTCATAGGATAGGTAAATTCCTCCTTTTAATCTTCCCTTGTGACAGTATATTTACTTTACTTGCTAAACAATACACGCGATGTCCTTGAATTATTATATCGTTTGTGTAAAGGATGATATACTTCACACAACTACCCTTCTGACAAGAATTTTAGTTGCCATGGATATGTCATTGAAGCCATGAACATCGTCTGGTTTTGAAAATTTGAAAGAACTATGTTGGATAGTCTTCTTAAAGTGGCCCCACTTCACTCTCACGTAGGAGACCTACGTTGGTCGACTCACCTAAACATAATGGTCATCAAAAGATTTTCTTAGACTATACCAATTAGATCATTGTTTACATCATAGGAACAAACTTGGGGTAAAAACTCCTACAATGATCGTACATGGTTTATGCAATTATGTTGTCCCTTTGAACCTAGATCTTGAGATCTCCAGTTAACTGGGCAGGGTTTTCTTTCACAAAAAGCCTTTAAATTTTATGGGCTTTATAGTCTCATTCTTTTAGATATTTTATCAACTTGATTTCGATTTAATCCATTGGTTAGCGGATCCGCGATGTTATCCTTTGATCTTACAAAATCAATAGAGATAACTCCATTTGAGATCAATTGTATAAGATATTATGTCGAAGAAGCATATCTCTCGACTTACCATTATACTTGAAATTCTATGATAGTCACTGTATATGCATAATGTGGGAACATGTTTCAACCATTCAAGAATATTCTCTAAGAAATTCCAAAGTCATTCAGCTTATTCTCCAGAGTAATCTAGAGTTACAAACTCAGGTTTCATTATGAATCTGGTTATAACCGTTTTCTTTAGGATTTCCATGACACGACTTATCTTCCCAATGTCAAACATATTCACTTGTGTCGTTGATATCTTGAATATCAAATTCCAACTAGCATTAGTCTATCATTCTAAGATAGTAGGATATTCAAAGAAAATACAATCCATCGTTTATGACCTCTTTTCATTTGTTTTGGTAATATGGCCATTATCTACTCAAGACACCCCCACATTGTCAAGTATTTGTTGGAAGATTTTTTACCTTTTCATAACCCATATGGTGACTTGTTTACTTTTCTTATCTTGGGAATCTTATTTA